CTTTTCTTTGTAAAAACTTCAATTGAATTTCAATAAAGTTAAAGGCATAACCTCATCATTAATATTTAAAAAAAAAATTAAAAAAAAAGAAAATTTAGTTCTTAGTACCGGGCAGAATTGTGTTTATCATAGACCAGAGTTATTTTAATGCCGGCTGAGTTAAACGGTTAAACGATACAAGGGTAAAATCGTCACCAAAAAGTTGTTTTTTTAGGTTAGGGTGTTTAAAACCATTCTTATAGCGAAATTTTACAAGGAAACTTTTAATTAATGCGCAGAAGGCAGTTTCATAGACCAAATTTTGGGTTACAAGCGATTTTTGACAAAACGAACGTTTGGTTTTTTACACCTGATTGGTCATGAAACTCTTTAGAGTGGTGATTTTTAGGTGGTTCCAATTCTACTTGTTGACCAAATCCCGAACTTCTATAGTTTGAGTTTGTCCGCGCCCAAATCCCAAACTCTGGCCAAATTAGTATCTTAAAAATTTTATTACTAATCTTTATTTATCGTTATGGTCATGTATAATATATCTGCGAAATTTAAAGATTATTTTTTTGATTCCATTTTTTATAAATGCTATTTATTTTTTTAGGGTATGGGATTTGTCCAGCATGTATAGTTCCAATCTCTACTTTCCCATAAGATGTATTCACTTAATAAATATAGTATATATGGACATAGTAAATCAATAACTCCGTAACATTCACATCAAGAATATATCTCTATATAATGTACCCCATAAAGAAGTGTCTCGGGCACTAAAGCGATTCGAAAATATCCAGTACCCGTGTTGATAATAACGGTACTATCGCTATGGCTATTACATATTTCATGCCTCGCTAAGCCAATTTAACCATTATAATTAGAACTAATCTATACTTGATCTAAAGTTTAGTTTATTTAATATAATTTTAAACCCTGGATCTTACCGATTGGCTAACGTGTTTTTCCAATATGTATAAAAAAGATACCTTTTTTAGTCAAAAAGCAATAAAACCCCTATTATATTGTTCGGGCTCTGTATAGTGATAAAAATGTTAAAATAATAGCCTCGGAACATCTATCTCGGAATATCTATTCCAAGTAACAGCAGCACAGAACCGCAGGCCAAAACATCATCTTTTTCCTAAAATTCTAAGTTTGTTTATTAGAATCGCATGCTAGACCGCTCATTTTTTAAAAGCTACGGCTTATTATAGCATAGTTTTTTGGCAAATTATAATAAATGGAAAATAACTTAACGAATTGGATCTTCAAAAAACAAGAATATGAAAAATACACTCCTTCACGGAGGGAAGGGATGCCGCCACGGGAAGAGAATTATAAAAGAGCCAAAGGTGTCAAATTTATTCTTGAAGTCTCTTATGACCTTAAACTGTATCCTTATAATTTAACCCTAGCAAATTGTTTTGGCTTTTATAATTTTATATACGATTTATCTTTAACTCTCGTAAATTGCCATAATTTTGATTTCAGTCCTCAGCAAACGATCGCAACAGCAGCCACCTTTTTGCATCGATTTTATATGCGAAAAAGTCTCAACGAGTTTCATCATTATGTAAGAATGTCGATCTTCCTTATAGTAAACTGATGAATTGTTAAAAATAATGAGAAAGAGAATTCACAAACTTTTATTATTTGAACACATCCCAAAGGATATCGGTGGGACTTGTGTATTCCTAGCATGTAAATCTGAGGAAACCACGAGAAAAATGAGCGAAGTGGCCATGGCTTGTGCAAAGACTGCAAGAAAGGACAAGAATCTCAAAGATGAAAAAGTAATAAGAGTTTCTTTAATAAAATATCAAAATGCAGATTTATTAAACTGTATATTAATTTAAATAAATAGGAATTCGAAAAATGGCACCATACAATAACAAAACGAGAACCAACCATAGCGGCGACCTTATGTTTCGATTTAACTTTAGACCATCCGTATCCACATCTTATAAAAATAATTCGAGAACTTGAAGGTACAAAAAATAAATGTTTTTATTTTCAATTTTAATATGATCCTGTCCGCATTGACTTAATATTATGAATATAGGTGACATAGAAATTCGCAAGGCAATTGCGGGTAAAGCTTGGTCAATAATTAATGATAGGTGATTAAGTAGAAAATGTTTTTAGTATACATGTTCTTAAATTATATGGTGTGTTTATAAAATTTTTTCCTTTCTAAATTGTGTACATCTCAATATTCGAGTGTCTACAGCTTCAATGCACCAATTTCACTCTTTTACAAACCTAGCATAATTGCAAGCGCAGCGATTTTCATTGCATCAAAGTTAGCTAATGTTCAATTAAATGAGATAACCAAACAAGGGACTTTATGGTGGAGGGTTGCACAAATCGACGTTTACGAAGTATCAGGTAAAGTGCATTTAAATTGATATAAATTTGTTATACATTATCTAATATTTGATGATTATTATTGATTTAGAGGCAGTAGATGAAATATTACGCCTTTATCAGATTCGTAAACCGAAACTGGTCAAAAAAAAGGTGGTTTTGGTTGATTATTTTAATGACAATTATTCGTTTAAAATATAAAGATTTCTAACATGTATCTTGTCACCATACAAGAACGGTGAATCAAAACATCCTCTTGAGGATGCAGAAATTGTTGTAGAAAATCCTTATGAGGATCTTTCAGAGAATTGTACTCCACAGATAGGGCAACAAAGTCAAAGTCCTGATGTACAAATTGAAGAAACACCCAATAATGAAACACCGACAGAACATGATGATGAAATGGAAGATGGGCAAATTTTAGACGAAGTAAATGGAACAGAGCAGCACTTAGGAAATGCGGAACCAAACGGGAACACAGGGATGATTTTGGATTCCAATGACGAAGATCAACATTTAAACTGACGTTATTTTTTCATCGAACATTAGCACCAAATTATTCTTGTAAGTTATAGTTAATTATGACAGTTTTGTCTTTAGATATCCGGAACGAAATTATTATAATTTGAATTCATTATTCAAATAATACATACTTATATATAAAATGTGCAATAAAAATTGGCTTTTTTATCTGTTCATTTTTTTAATATTAAACTGCAAATCTGCACTAACATATATATGAATGAGCTCTTTAAATTTTCACTTTTCCTGCCTTAATTTAAAGATTTTCATATCATATTAATCATTTCAATTAGTATTCCTTTCTTTTTTTTTTTTTTCTTTTAGAAAAAAAAAAGCTTGAACAATAATTTCTTATTGCATTTTCATTGAAATTTTCTTCATGTTCGTCACAAGATGTAAAGAACAAGCAAGATGATTAAACACTAACAAGTTTAAGACCAGAATTTTGATTCGGCATAGCTACTCTTTGAGTTTCTACCAAAGCGAGAAAAAAATATTAGTGCAAAAAAAAAAAAAAAAAAACGAATCGAGAAACATGTATTTACAATCGTAATCATCCAATTTATGCATTATAAAAAAAAAAAAAAAAAAAAAAAAAAAAAAAAAAAAAGGAAAAAAAAAGAAAAAAACTCCTGTGCAAAAAAAGTTAAGTGTATTTAAAGAAACAAATTACAATAGTTTCTCTTATAACAAATGATTCCTTTATCCTATAGAGGATATTTCATATTGTTGCATGGGTAATAATATTGTTCTAAAGGTCTATGGTGACTCACTACCTGAATCTTCAGAATCTGAACCAGATGAATCGGAGCTTTGAGAGTCAGATGAGCCATCATTAGAACTTTGACTATCTGAAGAACTTTCGCTCGAATTGTCAGTTTCATTTTGACCTTCAGAAGTTGAGGTAGCAGAGTTTCGCTCAAATTTTGCCAATGTTCTTTCAAGAGCAAGAATTTGGGCTTCTTGTTCTTCTACTAGAGATTGTGTACGAGGTTTCTTTGCAGGAGGTTGCTTCTTCTTAACTTTTGTCTTTTCAACCGTATTTTGTATTACATAGTCGTACATTTCTCTGGCAGTTTTAACATTTAGAGAATCAATTTCAAAAGAAAATTCACCATCTTCATCCTGTATAGGTGCACCACTCTCACGGATAAGGTTAGCTACGACTGCCATTTGGTCAGCTGATAAAAGTTGAATTCGATGTCCAAGTTCAACCTTCTGAACAGGAGTAAGGCCTTTTTCTTCTTGCTTAATTGTCGAGCGAGGGCTTTTCAACGGCTTTTTAACACCGCCTCGAGGTGTCTTTAATGATTTTTTGGCTTCTTTTTTGGGACGTTTTAGTGATTTTTTACCCGTTGCTGTTGATTGAGTCAAAGTACTTTTTTTAGAACCGTGTTTTTTCTTAAGTTTGGACGGTTTATGTTTCTTTCTTATCTGAGAAATCTCTGATGACAGAGCTTCTAAATGTATCTGCAAAGCTCTTATGTGATCACTGTGATCATCACTTTCGTCATCATCTGATGAACTATTCGACTCTGAAAAATCTTCAGCTTTGATTTGTCGTCGAAATTGAGGAATAGGTTTCTCTGACCATTTTTTATCAAACACAGCTTCAAGCATCTTCCCCATATTATATACTTCAGAACCCCTTCCGTTATACGTATAACAATTCTGAAACATTAAACGGATATCTGACTCAAATTCATCAGCATTTGAATACTGTCCGCTTTCTAACTTTCTATTTATAGTAGAAAGATCCATAGGATTTGTTATAATCTTATAATAATCAGGAACACCTAATTTTTCTGCGTCAACAGGTTCGTAAAAAGGATAAGCGTAAGCCCAATGAACTTTTTTACGTAACTCCCTGATTACATCACGACAGAAACTAAGTTCCTGATTTAATTTGCTTTTTTTACGTTTAACCGAAGGGGCCTCAGGTAGATCTTTAGAAGGTGCTTTAATGGTCCTCTTTGGTCGTTTTATCGATTCAACGGGAGCTTTACTCGCAAATGGCTCCCCAGAAAGACAAATCTTAGAATCAGGTACGTTAGAAGACTCTGTCTTAACAGGGGGTTCTTCCTTTAGTCCAGGCATTTTACTAAGCAACTGGTTGAACAAAGCGTCAAGATCCTTTGCGAAAACGGAAAATGCATGTGCCGTGCCGTTGTACATGATACAATTTGCAAATATTTGCCTGACATCTTGGACGAAGGCGAGAACGGTGGAGTATTCGTAGTTATTTAGTTTTTTTTCGACGGTTCCAAGATCCATAGGTTTCTTAATAATATCAAAGTAATCGGTGACCCCATACTTTGTCGGATCAACTGGTTCGAGGAAAGGAACTGCCGATGGATGGTTTTTCAAAGATTTAAGGATAGAAGAACAGAATTTTTGGTGCTCGCGAGCCATGGTGTCACGAAACCAACTAGCTTGTAATTTGTTTGCATTGTCACATAAAGATGTCTCATAAGACGTGTTATTATTAAAGTTATGTGTTTTCGTCATCCCAGGAGGGTTAAAAGATGGTGTCGATATCTACCGACTAAAGGGTAAATTTATAGTTATCAACAATAATTGTACATGTGGTCAGCAGACCAAATTACGAATATAGCGTAATACGTACGCAATTTTCCACCTATATCATGTGACACAATGCCGATACGCATTTTTTGGTTTTAAAGCCCTTTTAGCATTTATACCTGAATTATTTTACTATCCTAAAAGATTAATATCACGAAGTTATCGTTCTGATTAACCTTAATATGTGTTGATAACGATAAACTTAAACAACAGTTACACGAGTGTACTTGTTTTTTGACGAGTGCAAGCATAAAAAAATTTATATATTCTCTATCACAGACGTTTATCTCAAAACTTGGCCTAATTAATCACCTTTCTCTCTCTAATAAAATATTTTCTCTACATAATTTTACTATGTGTAACTTTTTGCTAACCCAAAATTCATAATATATAACATGACCGGAAAATCGATCCTACACCCTAGACAATCTTGACGTGATTACCATACGCCACTGATTTTAGTACCTCAAGTACTGTCCAATAAACCATCAAATTTCTTGATCACGGAGGGTACAAGATACTTTACATAGTTTTATAAATATTCTAACCGGAACATTGCCAAGGTCTTTAATTATAAACCCATAAATTGTACTGGTCTTTTTCATGAGAGTATGGAGATATTATCCCTTAAACCTATTTTAGCGTACAAATTTGTACGCTAAAATTTTTAGAAAATTAAGTTCTAAAAAAAAATTTTCTGTTCTAATTATTTATAGTGACTCAAATCACGCGGCACAGTGTGAAACACTTCATGTAGCTTAAACAAAAAGCATAACTTCTGATGGTTGTGAATATAGTTGGCAGTAGAATTACTGAATTACGGCATTACGGCATTCTACCATGTGGTAGAATTAATTTTACCACAGTACTTGATTGCCGTAAATATTATACACTGTAATGTCGTAATGCCGTAACTGTAATGCCGTAACCGTAATGTTGTAACTGTAATGTTGTAATATCAACATAATACTTCACCAAAAGACCTAGCTATCATACCAACTTTGTTACAGTAAATTCTCAATTTAATTGATTAATAAAAATAAAATTTCAAAAAATTTATTAAGAAAATAATTTAATAAATAACAAATATATAAAAAATAATTACAAATAAAATAAAAAATATTTAAATAAAAATATTTAAACTATAATATTTTTGAACTATATATTTATAGTATAAAAAAAATCTACAATAAGAAAAAAAAATTTAAATAATAATTATAATAAAAACTTACAATAGAAAAAAAATTAGGAGTGTGGTGACCTAGTGAAGTGGTCAGGTTGTCAACCTTTCAAGTGGTAGGTTGGGTGTTCAAATCCTATTAACAATAAAAATTAGATAATCATTTATGTAATATTTATATTATAATAATTGTTACTAATGATTAGGTTAGAATACCTGTAATGGTAGTCACACTAGTATGATTGACAGATCATAGGGCATTTGTATAAGTATGACATTACACAGAAGAATGCAAACTGACAAATTGAATAGTACAAACATTAAATAAGTTCTTGTGATCATGTAAATTTATTGAAATTAGGTAACAAGAAGTCTATTTGGAAAAACCTAAATAGAAAGGTAGTTGGATCTTTGACAATCCTACTATAAAGGCTAGCTTGAAGAAATGAATATCAAAGTTGTAGTATCTGATTATAGTAGCTGAACAGATAAGAACCTTTAGGTTGGGAGTCTTAGAAATATTACCAATCAGATTACTGGAACGAACCAAAAAAAAAGGATATTGGATTGACTCAGTATATCGATGGATTAATCATAGTCCTATATGGGTTATCTGAATTAGAAGTTTGGTAAAAAGACAGATGAAGAAGCAAAGGTATACTAAAGTATTATGATTATGTTATGAAGTAGATGTTAAAATCTAAATGAATTTTACAAAAGCATAGTAGTTTAATGGTTAGCCCTGATCACAAGTGTTGGTTCTAATATAGTAATACTTAGGTTAGCTATAAAAATAGGTATAGAAGACTTTGGAATGTTTATTTTAAAGATAAATTAGTCTTAAGATTAAGATAATAATCTGGGCATCTGGATATGATCCAATAAGTTAACACAGATTACAAATTCAGAGAGTTTAAAATGGAACATTCAAGCAGAGATATTAGATATGACAACTGGTAAGAAACCTTCAGATGGACTTCTTAAATAGGTAATATAGAAAAGTTATATATATAGCTAATTGTACTCTCTCCTATAGTGGTTCATTGAACCACAATACTGATAAGTGATTAATAAAAATCAAAAGACCAAAGAGATTACCTTAATATCAAAAAAAAAAAATTATAAATACAAGTTATTTTTGTTATAGTGAATTTTCAATATAATGAAGACTAATTAAAATCTTAATATAGTGAAATTAAGTTTAAAGTTAGTCTATATATATATATTTTTTTTTTTAACTTAAGCAGTCATGTTAGTATTTTATTAAGATTCTTGAAATTACTATTACAATTATATGGATGTACCTAACAACTAACTTAGCATTACCCAGTCACCCTAATAGTACTTAAGTACAACCTGTTATATTACTTCAAGCAGAAGTAAACTGCTTGTTTGACTATTTAAAGTTTATTATAAAAGAGTCTTCTCTCTTTTATAATAAGCTTTAAAATTGGTTTTCTAATTTCATCTTCAATTCATATTTCTTTCTTTTTTATTTTTTTGTTTTTTTCTTCTACTTCTTTCTGACTAGTCTTTTTTTTTTAGTCAGATTCTTTTTCTTATTTTGGAGGGTTTTTTTATTTTACTATTCATTTCTGTACTTTTTTCTTATTTGTTAACTTTTTTACATCATATTTTTCAGACTTGTTCATAAAAAGTATTTCAAACTGTTTCTGCCAATGTATTAACAAATCTTTGTTTTGTTTTTGTATCTAAAATCCATGCTAACCTGTCTTGAATTGTTTTTGGAATTAGACTCTTAATTAGTGTTTTCTTTATTTCTATTTCTTCTGTTTCTGTTTTTTCAAAAAGTGTTATATATAATACATAAGACAAAAGCTGATTTTTTTTTTTAGTCTTTTTCATGCTATTGCAGTAAACATTTTTTGTATTCTCTTTCAAAGGCTTGTTTGTCTTTATATACTATCAGATGTTCTAGCATTTTTTTAACTTTATCTTAACATATTTTGTATTTTATATTTACATATAAATTTGGTCTTCTTCTATTAAGTTTCTCTAATATTGAGAATTTGTCCAATATGTATTTTATAAAAGTATTTCTTCTTATGTTACTTCTTCTTGTCATACAATATATTTCTTTGGTTAAGTTTAGCCTTTTTCAAAAATATACTCAGTCATAAATCATTATTTCTGTTATCAATTTTAGACTTTTGATTGCTGTTATTTCTCTTTACTTTGCATCTAGTTTAGTATTTGTTACTAGCTTGCATAAAAGTCTTGTTAGTATATCTATTTATTTGTTTTCTCATTTCAAGCAGTATTTTATTTTTTTGCAACAAACTTTTTCTATATATATAATCTTCTTGCTTACTGTTTTTTTTTTTTACAAGGCTATCAGTTTTATTATTTCATCTGTCTTTGTTATAACTTTTTATCTTAAACTACTCTATTTGTATATTTTTTGTTCTAATTAGATTGATTATCTTTATTATTTAAAAAACATTCTTTCTCTTAAGAATTCTATTTTTATTTATGCATTCTAACCCTTTACTAATGTTTCTAATTGTGGTATTACTATCTATAAATATTTCTATTTTTTTCTCTTCTAGTATAATCAAAATTACTATTCATATTGTTAATAACTTAGTTGCAGTTAATGTTGATTATCTTTTTACTCCTAATGTTATCTCTTTTTCTAATTAGTCTTGTATTTTACTTATCTGCATTTATTCTATATCCATGTTTCGATCTGTTGCTTCTTCTCTATTCTATCTATTTGCTATACCATCAGTATATATTATATACTTGTTCTTGTTTTTTAGTATATTTCTCTTAAGAGTTTCTATTATTTCTTATATAACATCCTTTCTTAGCTTTTGTTTTCTGACTACTCTATTTCTAAGTTCTCTAGTATTTTCAGTCCTGTTAGTTTTTGTTTATTTTTCTTTAACTTATTTGTTCTTGTACAGCCTGTTAATTAGTCTATTTTTGTTTTGATTATGTTGTTGCTTTTTACTATTAATGCATTTGAAATTATTTTTATCTTGTTATTAATTCTTATTTACTGTTGACAATTATTTTCTACTGCTTCTTTTTTACTTGTGTATCTATTGCATTTGCTAATTTCAGTAAATAGATTGTTCTTTATACTTTGCATTTGCTAATATTCTATTAATACTTTTTTTTTTTTTTAATTATTTTTTCTAATTATCTGTTATTATTTGCATTATATATAATCTATTCTTTTTTTCTTCTATTTTTTGACAGACTTTTCTACTTAATCTTAATTGCTTATATATTATATTTATCTGTCTTAAAGGATTCTTTAACCTCTCTACTCTTTGGTCTATTTAGTACTTTTGCTTTTATCTTTTCAAACTATTCTGCTTTTTTGTCTTTGTTCAATTGTTTTTGATAACTTTTAAATTGCTGTTATATAATCAGTTTTTAACTTTTTGCATTAAGTAGTTGGTTTAGATATATTAGATTTGTTTTACTTATTTTGGCTTTACTTCTTTTTCACAGTTGTGTTTTTACATTAGCAAAATTGTAGATGCGAAATATTTTGAAAGATTATATATAATACAAAAATTTTAGAATAATACAAAAGAAATTTTAAAATTTTTGCGAAATGCAAAATATTTCAAAATATTGTAAAATAAATTTCAAATTATTGCACTATGAAAAAATTTTCACAATATTACAGAAAAATTTTTGAAATTATTACATAACACAAAATATTTTGAAATATAGTGAAAAAATTATCTAAATATATGAAGGACAA